GAGACTCAGGGGATGTCTGTCTTGGCCTTGAGTGCTGGGAGTGGGTTCTCTCACACTGTCTTTAGTTTGCAGACCTCTCAGCTGTCTCCCAAACATCAAATGCAGGTGCAGTGGTGAAATACAGGTGAGCAAAAGGTTCTAGTGAGGTGGTACCAGCACCAAAGAGCCCTTGTCTTTGCGTACACCTGGGTGACGTGGTACAGAGATGATGGGTTTAGAGGAAGGAAGCCTCTTTCCTCCCCTGGCTCTGGCTCCCATCAGCTCCCTCTGCACATGCAGGCTGATGCTTTCCTTCCTCCCAGCCCAGCTCTGGGCGTTTTCACACGGAAGACAGACCACGAGCCTTTCCTGAGGAACACAGAACAGGTGCTTTCAACCGGTGAAATGCGTATTCAAAAATAAATACATAAGTGATTCAGAATGGTTCTCAAGGTAATCTGGAAAGATAAATAAGTGAGAATAGCCAACATGTTGACCGGGAAGACTTAAGAAGAACATGTATCAGATATGAGAAGAGCTAAGAGAAAGAACATACATCAGGTATTAAAAAACACTATAAAGTTACAATACAACTAAAATCTTTGGTTTTGGCTCAAATCAAAACCAAACCAAACCCCTTGCCGTTGAATCGTTTCCAACTCACAACAACCCTACAGGATAGAGTAGAACTGCCCATAGAGTTTCCAAGGCTGTAATCCTCACAGAAGCAGACTGCCACGTCATTCTCCCACAGAGCGGCTGGTGGGTTTGAATCGCCAGCCTTTTGGTTTGGAGCCAGGCGCTTAACCACTGCGCCACCAGGGCTCCTCGATACTGGCTGAGGAACAGACAGATCCGTGGAACAATGGAGAAAGACTAGCCGTAGACTGTTGGTATAGTCTGTAAGTATGTAGTAGAGTGTAGCCTGAGGCATTCAAAGCAGTGGAGAAAGGATAACTTACCAAGTAAATGTTTTGAGACAACATCTCTCCCACACACACACCAGCTACAACCTGGGGAAAAGAAATACCAGCAGCGTCTAAGACAAAGACAAGGTCCTGAGCAGGTGTAAGAAAGGCCTGTGCCAACCAGTGAGAAAAATCTCAGCATTATGGTAGAGAAGGAGGCGAAGGACAGAGTGAGCTGTTCATGACAGAGGTAGTGTATGCGGCCAATAGATTTATGAAAAAGCCTTCAGCATCACTAGTGAAGGAACGGAGTTGACACAGTGACATGGTTCCCTGTCATCCAGCAGATGGGCAGCGATGCAGTCACGTTCCACACGGCGATGGTGAGCATGCCAAGGAGGCGTGGTTACACGGCTGTGGCGTGAGTCGCACACCCTTTCTGAAGGGTCATCTCAAGCCTGTGACCAGGGCCCCAGACAGAGGTGGATACACAAACAGCTTTGCAATAAAAATGAAAATTTTAGAATGACCTGGAAGTCCAGTTATGGTGTTTGATTGGGTGAGCTATGCTCTACACCCGCACACACACACACGCTCACACCCACTTGTACTGGAATACACACCTTTTAAAAATGGAAGTGGTGGAATACGTGTATTGATGTAGGAAGATGTTCCTGTATAAATGAGAGAATAAAGCAGGTTATAAACCACATCACACATCTGTACAAAATGCACATCTGCCCAACGCACATACACACAGAAATCTGGAAGGACACACAGATTTTAGCTGCCTTTGGATAATAGGATTATGGTTTTAAAAAATATTCTTCCTCTCATCTGATTTTTCTACAAAAACATGTTGCCTGTGTCCTTGTTTCCATTTGTTTTAAACAGTGGGAATTAGAATCACCCAGTTTTGTAACGCCCGTTTCAGACAAAGGACAGCGTCTGTGTCACCCTTACATGCTGGCTTTGGCCACGGCGCAGTAGACACAGCCACTTACGTCTGCATCTTTGGGATGAGCGTGCATCTCCTAGCTGTGGGTGTTCATTTCCCGTCACTACACCTACGTCAGGTGCTCTCGTGCCTGCCGACTCCCTCCCCTCCTGTGGGCTCTGCCCACCTCACACTGCTCACAATGAGTCATCCTTCAGGCAGGAGACCTTCTAGAAGCCGCTGTCGGAGGCATCTCTTGGGACGTGGAAGTGGGTAGGGGCTGGGAGGAGTTATAGGAAACACAGGCTTGACCACGACAGACCAACCTGCCTTGTCCAGACACCCAGATGTGAAGTCAGCGTTCAGCTTCATCTTCTCACCTGAGAAGCCGTCTGTCCCAAGAACCCAGCTGGTGTTTATGCTCCTGCACGTGCAGTTTCTTAGTTTATAGTATTCTTCAGTCTCCAAATCAGCAAACCGAGGTGTTTGTAGCTCCCCTTGGGGTGGTTGGGGGAGTTAACACCTGCCCAGTGCTTGCCGGGCCGTGGGGACTGCCAGGGCTATGGGGACTGCTGGGGCCATGGGGCTACTAGGCCGTGGGGACTGCTGGGCCCGTGGGGGCTACTAGGCCGTGGGGACTGCTGGGCCTGTGGGGGCTACTAGGCCGTGGGGACTGCCGGGCCGTGGGAACTGCCGGGGCCGTGGGGGCTGCCGGGGGCCATGGGGCTACTAGGCCGTGGGGACTGCCGGGGGCCAAGGGGGCTACTGGGCCATGGGGACTGCCGGGGGCCATGGGGGCTACTGGGCCATGGGAACTGCCGGGGCCGTGGGGACTGCCGGGCTGTGGGGGCTGCCGGGCCCCGTGGGGGCTACTGGGCCGTGGGAACTGCCGGGGCCGTGGGGGCTGCCG